ATACACGGCATCCCTCTCTCTCCACCCTAGCTTTTTCAGCAAGACCACAAACTTTAATGCTGTGTTCATATCATATTGCTAAACAATAAAATGTTATGACGCTGACAGTATGTCCCACATCTTGGCAAACTGTCTGCAGAATGGCTGCAAATGCACCACCACTGGCAGCTACATAAAATAAAATTCAATACTAACACTAATGTGGTTCAAGCGCCCTCCAAAAGTAGCTTTGTCGACTGAAATTTCACCGTACTGTTAATGGTACTGTACACAGCATGAAATAAAATGGTAAACAAGCCTGTACTTTTGTTAACCTAAATGTGTTTTGTTCATTCGATCCAAATTCAATGTTTCAACATTTTAAAACTGAGTTTAACTATCTGCAAACAAAATGAACAACATCGTCGTAATTACACTGTGACAAGTCAGGATTGTTCTCCCACATATCCATAATTTAATTCTAACCAGTCAAAATGACACTCAGAGTTATTGCAATTCAGTCTGGACAAAATAACAACAGCAGATATTTCAAATGTTATTATGACAAGTACAAGCTGTTGTGCTTGACTCTGCTCCTTCCTGCTGGATATCGGTCCAGCTAAGCATTTAAACAGAGTTAGAGGAAGTAATGGCGGTTGCTGCGGTGAACGAGATCTTTAGAAAATGTCGTGACATGGTGGTAAACCAGCTTGTCATGTGCAGTTAAAGGACATGTTTGAAAAGCGAGTCTGCCTGAGTTCCTGTAGTGCCGCCAGCGGTCGGCTTATACTAGTTCCTGAACGCTGATGTGATGTCACCGCAAGAAGATAAGACTGAAATCTAGCTTTTTAAGTAATTATCATTTTTTAAAAAGGTTGGTCAAAACATTTCAGAGTAAAACTAATAAATAGTGCCTCAAGTTTCTTTCTCAAGGGATAACAATTCATGGCATGGCTTACAAAAATGCTTCATAGCACAAAGGGGCCATATCAGAAGTCGATGGCTGACTGGCTTTAATGAAAGTCCCGTATCTGTTTGTGTGTCTGCCAGATTCCTCAATTCTGCTCTGGAGCCACACTTGAGGTTTGATCCCATTTATAAGCCCAGAGTACAAGCAAAGCATATATCATTTTCATGATGCCAGACTGATTCTTAACAGGGCTTGCTGCCAGCACCCACAGTCTCTGTTATGAAACACGACTGTGGCGCTGAGGTCTTTTCGATATAAACCCAAAGAGCTGTTGGTGTATTCTTTGTTAAAGTGACACCAGTTGGATTTCACACTGGGATCCCAACACTTGGCTCTCAAAGTTGTTGACGGGGCTGAATTTTAAAAATCACCACGAGCCAACTGACACTGAAGGATTACAGATTGCTCTGGATTTATTAGATTATTGTTTGCACGTCAGTACATTTACTGCCTCTGTGTCTGGCTAATTATGATAATTGCAGCCTGTGTAATTCAAAGCAGGCATTCGTTACTCATCTTGTCATCTCCCACTGCGTAGATTAATGTCATGTTAATAAAAGTGCGATACAGGAATGAAAACTAAAAGAATCGGATTTGTTGTCCCCTCCGGTGTCATATCGTGCCATTTCATTTTCCCAATTTTCTTTGTCTGAATTGGATTTGTGTTTCTGGAACTCCTGTTATGGAAGAGTTGGTGGGCCGAGTTTCTCTCACTTAACCTGACATGAGGCCTGAAAGTTGCCAGATTGTGTCACAGAGCAGTGGAGCGTTCACGGAGCCTGTTGGAGAGTCGTGTGATTAATGGCAACATGCCTGCGGTAGGGAAAAAAGGACCTGTCAGGCTATGAAATATATTCTGTATGATGAGCTCACTGCTGTGGGTTTATACACTCATCACTTCCTTCAGCTGGCAGGGAAGCGGCGGGGTTTCCACTGAAAATTGCGGCAATATATCTGCAGGTGATCGGAACAGCTAATTTGTGGAAGGACGGGACGTGCTCTCTGTAGAGGGCCCATTTCATGTGTTTATAGGCCGATTCATGGTTTCCGCATTCCCGTGCACTGACTGGTGACGACTTTGAAAGGCGACACATGCGGTTCCGTTCACACCACTGTAGCGACAAGTCGGTCTGCTATCCATACAGTCGTTGCCCTTTGCATTAAACACAGAAATACAGCTCTCTTGATGTTTTCGAAAGGCGGTGACTTTGCACTTTTTACAAGGAGTAGTTACAGATTTGGGTGTAGCATCATGTCAGAGTGATCATTCCTGAGGTGTTGAGCGCAGTGGGCCGACGCAGAACAGGATTTCTGGAGAATTCCTCCTTTTCCACTGTTTGTTCACCATCGGGGGGAAAGAATGTACAAGTCAAAGTACCTCCAAAGTCTCACCGCAACTGCTTTAATTAAGCTTGTTTAATGATGAATTATGAAGGTGCAGATGACAAAGAATATCCTCGCACATACTTTCCCCCCAAAACCAGTGTTTATTTTGAGCCCCATTTCCATATGCGCAGTTGGCATGCCAACAGTCCCACCAGTCTTGTGGAAACGTAATGTGGAAAACAATGGCCTTATTCCTGAGGTGAGTGGACATAGCACAGGATTTCTGGAGAATTTAGAACTTCCTACTGTGTTTTGGTACCATAGATGGAAAGCTTCTCGCTACAAATCAAAGCCTCCAATGGCGACTACTTCAATTACAACTCTTCACTATGTGCAAGGTGCAGTAATCGCTCCAAAACAAGAGTAAACGTAACATGCAAGTTCGACGTGAAGCGACCACAGATGTGTAGATGTGTAGTATCCATGGGGAGGATTCCGTGTCAGTGGGGGCCTTGCTGATGAGACCAGCTGCAGTTGGAAAGAAAGTGTTCTTGACAGACCGCAGCCTTTCCTTGTTTGAAAAAGGTTTATGTCTGTGGTGGGAAACGTCAATTTCAGTGTTTCTTGCTGACCTCAGGGTCCTGGAGGCGTGCAGGTGCTGGATGGATGGCAGATTGTCTGACAACAGCAGTTGGCCCTTTTCACTTGGCAGTGGCAGAAGAGTACCAGATGGTGGTGGAGGACAGGAGGATGGACGCAGTGATGACAGTGTAGAGCCACACTATCACTGACTTTAGCAGGTTGAATCAAGTGGCAGAGCTCACAGCATGAGGTTGAATCCTTTCTGTAAGTTTCTCTGAGTGCAGTGCAATCGACAGTGGCTCCAACAATTCCTGACTCCTGTTCAATATGTTTTACCTTGTCTCTAGCAAAAAATGTGTTCTGTTAAATTGTTCTGACATTAGGTTTGGATGGACTAAACCAACTCATGGTGCCTTTTCTGACATTATTTGTAATGTTATGCCTCATAGGTGCAGTAGCCATATTGAAATAGCCAATAGTGAGCTGAAAAAAGTAAGTGGTCAAGGCAGCAGTAATAAGGAAGGTTAGAAATATACTGCTTTATCTTGCAGCCCATACCACAATTAACAAACAACCTATTATTGTACACTTGTGCAAGAAGGTTATATGTAATGTTTAGAATTTGTGAGGGCTGCAAGGTGGCGCAGTTGGTAGCACTGTTGTTGGGGGCACCTGGGAACTTTCTGTGTGGAGTTTGCATGTTCTCCCCGTGCAGCGTGGGTTTAAACTTTTATTGTACCAAGAAATCTGATTATTGTTCAAATATACTTTAAAATTATACAAACTCAAACTCTTATACGATAGGCATGATCACCTCAATGTCTATTGACACATTAATGTATCATTCAGCTTGTAGGATCAATTTCCAACTTTAATCTGACTTTTATTCAATTGTGTTTGTTAATTTATTGTATATCGTTTGGCTTTTGTTGTATTTTGTTCTTACCTTTGTCTTGTGTTGCAGGTATGGGAGGATGAGTGAGGCAGCCTACAGGACACAGGCAAAGGGGACAAGGGATGGACGAGACTAAAAAGACACAACGTGTACACAAACAGACTCAAAACAAAGGCACAATGAAAACAACAAAACTTGTCTCTACTTATTTTATGTCTTCTTCTGTTTAAAGGTCTGTCCACAGGCATTTGTAGTTCCATCATAAATCCATGTCTTGCTGCTTGAGCGCTATAATTTCCTTGTTTTGATCAACAAAATCCTCCATGTAAATAGTAATGTTCCTAATGAATTGAACCGTGTGCACAATCCAGAGCCCCCGCAAAAAAATGACCCAGAAAGGTATCTGTAAATTTCTCTGACGCTGTTTAAAAGTTTTAAATTCTGCAGAACATCTAACTTAGACCAGACCACAGCACCCAGCTGAACAATGGCCATGCAACATTACACCAGAGTTGTCTCAAAGAATTTTTTGCTGTTTATGCTGTTCACGGTGAATGTAAACAGTCTGTACATGTTCTGCACATAAACTTTTGTTTTGCATTTAGTTTGCGCTTTCTATTTTTAAACATATTTTGAACAGACGACATGAATATTAGCTGACACACTAAGTGACACAATTGAACATACTGCTAATGCTAAGCTAGCCATGTGAAGGTAACATTAGCTAGCAACATTTTTAAGTATTTTCCAAATGGTAGGTACAAAAGATGATAGTAGGGTGGTTTATTTAAACAAAAACTTACACATCCTGCATCAGAAGCTGTTTATTCCTGGTTGTGGTGGTTGATGGTGATTGCTAACAGGTGGCTCCTGGTGCTGGTTTGGTTGCAGGAGTGGCCCTCAAACTGGCTCGCAATGCCACTAATGCTTACAGAAAGATATTTTAATAGGCTTGAAAACTTATTTAAAAAAACATAAATGTAACTGTAGCTACTGCCTGAACCGTTTATACAGAGTTTTTAGAAATTTTGTAGCTTTACAACCGTTTAGTATGGAGAAGTGAGAGTGCCAAATTAGTTTAGAGTCAATGACGAGATAAAAACAGAGCATTCACACTGAACGACTGAGACAAAACATGTCGCTGAGTTATTACGCACTGCCCTCTAGCGTCAAAAAATAGTAAGCGCAACGTCACACGTCATCAAGAGTGAGACGAAAAAATCCACGCATGCGCAAGACTTGAAAGCTGACAAATTTCAAACTGGACGGCGGGTAGTTGAAGCCGACCGAGAAAAAACAGACAACAAAGGTTCATTGTTAAGAATTTAACCAAAAGGGATTAAAAATGACAAGTACTCTAAAAGGAATCACTCTCAAGGGAAGCGCGGAGCTCGTGGCCGAGTTTTTCTGTAAGTATTCGTATATATTTCTTCGTTCAGGAGAACGTTTTGAACACCTTTGACACACATGCAGAGCTAACATGCTACTGGGCCTGTGTAGTGTAGCTTTGGTACATCCAGCACGACAAGCGGAGCTCCGCAGTCATATCTGAAAATAACGTATTCGGTCGAAGGGAGGGCTTAAGCTCGGCTGTTGGTTTGAGCAAACGACCTTTTAAATTGTGTTTGTTCTCGCAAAACTTACTTTTGCGTTGAAGCGTGGTCACGATGGAGTGCACCGCCCACCACGGACTGCGCTGCCGGTGAAATCGAGCGTAACAACATAAGAAATTGAGTTAAATTATATTATGTTTGATACTGTTTCATGTAATATATGTTTGCCGAATTCAACAGAAGGCCGAAGTGTTTCAGGAAAGATATCGGTCATAGTGAAAGAACTGTTTCTTTTTGCCAGTTAGCCCTGCAGCATTTCTACATAGTTTATGAGCGAGGTTTGGTCGCTTACCGTTAGCTTGTTTGCTGAACGTCAAAGCTAGGCTAACCCACACTTTATACTCAAAATAGTATACTTGACAACAGAAAGACAGGGGCTTGTTTAAATGTTTAACTGCTTATTTATGTACACTTTTTTTAATTGAACCACAGAATGTCCATATTCTGCACATACAAAGTAATCAAATTAGTTTTAGACATATAAGAATATATTTTATGTTCCAACACTTACACAGTGTTTTTGGTCATTCTCAGGCATACTTTACCACTTAGTTGGCTGTAGTCCAGTTAGATGTGTTTATAGCTTTATGATATTTTTCTGCATCTCTTTCCTTGATTTCTGTTGAAGCCTCTCTTTGATTTTTACTGAATTTCCATCTTACCTAAAACGATTTGATTCTCTCTCTTACCTCCACAGCCTTTGGCATCAACAGCATCCTGTACCAGCGGGGGATCTATCCTCCGGAAACCTTCACCAGAGTCACCCATTATGACATGAGCCTGCAACTCACCACTGATCCCAAGCTGAAGAACTACCTGACCAATGTGGTGTCTCAGCTCAAAGGTAGCCTCAGTAATGAGCTCCTTCCTTCCTGTGTTCAAGCCTCCTTAAAACTTCAGCAGATTTGCATTTGGAGCTGACATTATGTAAAATATATTGAGGAAATTTGCTTGCTTGCTGGGGTGCCCTGAAACCTCTTCAAATATCCTTTTAAAAGACTGTTGGGATTGGAATTATTCACCTGTGTGTGACTAGAGATAGCATGATGGGAAATTTAAGAGCATCATCAAATACTAGCAGTTGTTGTAGCTAGAATAATCCTGTGCATTCACCTTGTTTGCTTGTCATATAGTGTTTTTAATATGCCAGAATACCTGTTGGGTTTGGATTAGTCATGGTGTAACTACAAATATTTTATTTTACTAGCTAATCTGCTAAAAAATATTCTAAAATTGTCCAAAAATGGCAGAAACCGTCCTTTATAATTTTAACTGCCCATCACGATGGCTTCATAGTTGTTGTTTTTTTTCTAACAAACAGTCTAAAACCCAAAATAATCGGCTTGTTCTGTGTTGCAGAGTGGCTGTTTGAGTGCACAGTGCAGAAGCTGGTGCTGGTGATCACGTGTCTGGAAACCAACGAGGTGCTGGAGAGATGGCAGTTTGACATCGAGTGCGACAAGTCAGCTAAGGAGAGCAGGTCAGTTTCTCTACTGGTCCTGGGAACCTGTTTGATTAAAGCAGCTGAACAGAAAAAGTGCTGTACTCATCAGTCTAAGTGAATGATTTTCTAACATTTGAAGATTCCTTGGATCCACCACATGCTGGGACTTTGTCGGTTGAGTTGCATTCCAATCAGATTCCTGCAGGTTACATATCATACTGGTGTCACACATACTGTCAGTTTAAGTGTGCTGATATTTCTCCCAATGTGCCAAAAACACTGAATGTATCTCAGTAACAAGTACTCTGAGGCTTCCGTCCCACACACACAGTGAGCATTTTACTAGGAGCAGCATACTACAGCTCTAAATTGGGCCTCCGTTTGCTGTCAAACAGCCTCCGTTCTTTTTGTTACAGATTCCACAAGGTGTTGGAAACCTTCCCCTGAGATTATACTCCACGCTGACATGACTCAGCATGACAATTTGCTGCCACATTTAGTATAAAATGTTTTAAGTCAGCTGGTGAAAATTGAATTTGACTAATGTGATTTGTTGACCAGCTGTTTAAGGAGATTACTGAGCCTGTTTAGTTAAAATGAAATTAAATACATGGTTGATTTTTTTTTTCTCTCTTTTTTTTTTCCATGGGACTTAATGGCAAGAAAACTAGAGAACAGTCTAGTTAAAAAGTGTTTGGCTGTTAGACTTGTAGCTAAAGTCATTTTTTTTAGGTTATGGGTGAAAATTTGAACCAATGGTTGTAACAAGACCTGTTTTTTTTGTTGACATTTGAAGAGCCGCTTAGATGCAGGCAGCTGATCAGAACAAAACATGCTTGGACTTTGTACTCCGGCAGATTGCCCTAGTTTGTTGATCATGCATGTCAGCTGAGTTACATAGTGACTATTAGATCATGTGTGCTAACTGAGTTCTCCTGTGTTACCCAGTGCTCCCAGAGAGAAGTCCATCAAGACCATCCAGGATGAGATCCGCTCTGTGATCAGACAGGTGACGGCCACAGTGACTTTCTTGCCGCTGTTGGAGACACCATGTGAGTAACCGTGCTATTTTTCAGTTCCTTTTGTTACAACAAGCTAAAGTGTGTGTGTCACTTCTGGATTGGTGAAGTTAATTATGTTGACCTCTTTGCTCCCTTTACTCCAGGTGCCTTTGACCTCCTCGTCTACACAGACAAAGACCTGGAGATCCCAGAAAAGTGGGAAGAGTCCGGGCCGCAGATTATCGACCAATCGGAGGAGGTGCGTTTACGCTCCTTCACCACCTCCATCCACAAGGTGAACAGCATGGTGGCGTACAAGAGGACCGACTCGGTTTAAACCAGCAAACCCCTGAGCTGTACATAGCACCAGCCACTGACCCCTTCTAGAAACCAGTAGATTTTACACCAAGGGCCCATTTCCTTTCCTTTGTGTTATTTGTCTGTCTGAGAAGGAGACAGTCTGCTCTGTCCACACTGATGTAAATATTTCTCATAAGCAGCATTTATCTATTCTTTTCTTTATTCGCTCCACTTTCTCTCTAGTTGTCAACCTGTCTTAGAAGATAGTGGTTTATATGTTCAACTTTTTAAAAGAAAAATGTCATAAATAAATATCTTTTGCTTTTTCCCTTAAGTTTGTTGTTGTGGGTTTTATTGCTTTTGACCAGAAGGTGGCAGTGTAACACAATTTCAGTGGGACTGTTGTAGCACACATGGCAAAAGTACAGAACAACACACTGAAGACATAGAAAATAAGCATTATTCTTTAATGGGACATACCATTTACTTGGCTCACAGTGTTCAGTGGTGTCGACAGTTGCAGATGTAGAACACCTCCTTCATAACGGTACCGTATCAGCATATTACATTATGTCACCTGCAGGAGACACCCACATATCTCTTATCTTTAAAAAAAACAAACATCTGTCTCTCTCTCTCTGGTGTAATGCCCTCCTATGTACATGCAGGAAACCAAAGATTCTCTGAGACCCAAGCAGTGAGGAAATAATAGTTGTTTCTGAAAGAAGCACAGAGGTTAGGCTACAGGCACATGTATTACAGTCCTGGAGACTTATTCAAAGTACAAAACACAACCACGGATACAAATGAGCTTTGTGAGCATGTGCGTCTACAAAAGTGCTTTTTTCGACGAGGTCGTCGAGCCCGTTTGTTGCTGTTACTAGAATGCACCTAGGGGGGCACCTGTTAGTGTGCGTACTGAGCACTACAGCTTTGTCAAACAGCGTAAAGTGATCTGAATGATGGCAGAAGTAAACGACCGACATCTTTATTGTCTGAAACTTTCACTCCATACATGATAACAAAAAAAAAATAAAAATCTGGAAGTGTGTTTTAAAGCAGGAGGTCTAAGTGGAAAATTCCCTCATCAGCTATGGTGACTTATCATTAACCAGCAGAAGCCCCTTGCTGTTTACCACCAAGTAGACTGACTGCAGATCACCTCATTTGTAGGTGTCTGTAGGACAAATGCAGCTAGTTTACTGTTCTATTTGGCAGTGGTTCCCAACCTTTTTTGGTTGTGACTCCTCATCACAGGTCATCGAATGCGAATCGAACTGTGATATTTGGTCTCAAGTACCCAAAAGTTGACCTTCTGGGTTATCTTGGTCCTGCTCATTTCACAAGTTTATGTTCCAAGAGCACAAAAACAGTTACAATTTGCAACCTTATGCTTCTTTTGTTAAACAGGATTCTGATGAAAAAGTATCCCCCAAAGCAAAAGAATATTTTTGTAAATGTACAAAAAGCTTGCACCCACAATGGTGTTCCAAGCATTTTTAACTATACCCATGCAGTCGTACTGCAGCAGCAGGAGTGATTGTTCCTTCTCTGACAGTTTCATTTGAATGATTTGTAGAGGCCTGTATTTCCCGAGGCGAAAGGGAAAAGGCAAAAAAACGACAGACTTATGTAACAGGTTTTTCTTTTGGAGGCCTTTAATCTGCTGGTGGTAGTGACCTCTCAGATATTCAACTCCTGGGTTGGGAACTGCTGCTACGGAGCCGCATAAGACTGTCGGGTTTTTAGCAGTGGACGGCAGCTACATGTGCTGACTCTTGGTTGTAGTGAAACCACACTCAAAGCACAAACAGGGTTCACACACCCACAACAGATAGCTGCTTTGATTTAGTCCTTGCTAATCCTCTTCGGAAGGAGGGTTAGTACCGGTACATATACAGTTACTATCCTAAAAAGAGCTGTCTTAGTTTGAATTTGTTCTACTTGCAGCCAGAGTGACTATTCCCCCTCCTCTGTCTGTGCTGTACTAACTAGTACTAACTACAAACTAGTACAAGTTGTGTGAGGTCGCCATCAGTGTTTTTGTTGACGCCCTGGTGGTCACAGCGACGTTTTTGGTGTAAAGTCCACTAATCCATAAATTTGATATTCATTTATGCAAAGAAACGCTTCATTTTTTGTTTTGTTTTTTGTACAATTGCAATTTTTGGATAGGCAAAAATGTTAACCTTTGTTCAACACTTCAGAAACAGTATTGACTAAGGAGTAGTGAGTATCTCCTGTTGAATGGTCTGACTGCATCCATTATTATTCAGCATTTGGGGTAAAAAAAAGCTCTGTCCAGTGCATATTTCTAATCAAAGTCATCTTGGGTGGTGCTTAGCCCAGGATGGAGTGATGGTGCCCCAGCAAAATAGTGCTGAAGGGAACGGTTTTGGTGAAACATTTGCACATTATAACAAGTAATTCATGGGGGGGAAAAAAACAAGTAGGACTGCTATAGAGAGGCCATATGATATACATCTTTTTTAGGGCATTTTTACATTGAATCAATTTTTTAAAAAAGCACATAAGTCTGAAAAAATGCTGACTATCGGATCTGATAATCAGTCAGGCCAATAAAAGCTCGACCCCTACTGCCTTATTGCATGATCTAAATCTTTGGCAAAACTTGTGTGTATGTTGCTGCTCGGAGGTTGTTGTTTTCTGAAGGCAATTAAAAAAAAAAAAACAGTACAAGCAGATTGCAAAATGGGAAAATGTGTGGTGGAAATAGCAGACTTCTAAGTACAGTCCACATCCAGTGAATCTAAAGGGGAACCTTTATAGGAAATGGATTTACAGGTTTGTTGCTTGTTCTTTCTTTTTTTTTGCTGTTGTTGTTGTTAGTAATGTTTTCTTTGGAATTGCCAGAAAAAGCCCACATTAATTAGAACACATGGGAGCTTTTTTGGTGGTTAAACTTGCAGGACTAAATGCAGGAAAGTGGATTATCTGATAGGCAGATCTAAGGACACCTCGGTACAGTCAGTCACTGTTGGTAATAAGTCGACTGACGTGTTTATTTGTGTACCCAAATCTGAAACTGAACTGCATGCTGAAGAATGACTGGAAGTATGAGTCGATTCTGATGTGCGAACCCTTTTTGCTGTTTGAGTGTGATATGAACAACTTGTCAGCACATTTGCTTGGATACATTCTGAGTTATTTTATATGGAGGGGGCTTTTTAGCACAATCCGACACTCTGAATGTGGCTGAAGAATCTTCTGAGCCAATCTTTTTCATTCCAACTAGCTTGATGGTGGATAAAAGATAAATTTAAGTCATGTATATTTAACCATCGGCGATTTACACAAATAGCAATTATGTGTGATAGCACAGAATGTATCGGAGCCAGATGACACCCTCGATTACATGTTGTTGGTTGGTTTTGAGCTAAACGTACTTCATGGTCTGTTGTTATGACATCAAAATAGTAAATGTCAACACTGTGGGGTCAGGCTGCCCGCGACTTAACAGAAACACTCCCCCATCACTCACTTTATAAAAACTGGGATGTAAAAACAGCCTTTTGTTGAGAAAAAAAGGCATTAATGGATGCAGAGAGATGTGGATGATGAATAAAAATAGGTTCTTTCTTTTAATCGTGAATTGGTCCTATTTTATTACAACAAGGCAGTGGAAACATCTAGACCTATTTCCCTTTGAAATTTCAGGTCTAGTCTTTGGCTCTTTTACATTTTTGAGAAAAAAATAATAAATCTGATTTTCAGATAACACAATACAGTACATTTCCAAATGTCATCTGAAAGAGTTTTCCCTAAGAAAGGTCCTTCAAAAAAGCAGAGATGGGATTTTTTTTTCTTTTTGAGTATGAAAACTACATTTCATTATATAAAGAATCGTGTGCTCTTGACAAAAGGATGACCTTACAATATAGATACTCTAATAAATATATAAAACAAAAAATAAATATGCAATAGTTAAGACAATGAGTGACAAAAAAAAAAATATGTTCGAAAGATTCAAACCCATGTAGTGTGTGTGTGCTGTGAACAAAGACATTTAACAAGCTTATCAGATTGTTGTGACACTATGTAAAGTATATAGCAAGTACAGTATCTTGAGCCCACTGGAACGGTGCTGATCTCTACGGATCTGTGTCCAACCATCCAGTGTTCCCCTAAACTTCACTACCTGTGATGGATAGCGTAGGTGAGACTTCAAGATAAAAGCCACTCTGTGCAAAAATAAAAATGGCTATGCTAATAAATATAGCTTAGTGCTGACTCTGTTATTACCTCTGGTGAGTGACGTACGGAATAGTGACGACAGGAAGACAGGTCTTGCAAACTTTAACGAAAAGAGCATGACCCCAGAAACGATGATGCCATGTTGTGGACACGACACGTTACTTCCTCCTGTTTGTTGTGGGAGCTAGTTAACGGTTAAATCAAGCTAACGAACAAATTTGTTGAAGTTGTTATTTTGGCAGGTATTCCAACTTGGGTTTAGTTTCACAGTTTTAGCCATTTTTTCATATCTGTTGTGCTACGTACTCGCTAAAACCACTGCGACCTGGGAAGATGGCAAAATTGCTACAACAAAGTATGCTAACATGTCTGCAGGAACTCGGGCAGGTGGGAGGTGGCGTGAACGTTTACTGGAACAGCCTACTAATTGGCCTTTTCATGCGGTCTTGAGCATGTTCCAACTGAAGGGAACGCTCCTGTAGAACCTCTTTCAGGGCCACTTTTAGGAAAGAAAAAGTACCTACTTCTAAGTGACCCTAAAAACTGCTTTGCGGGTTATGATGTTGAGCGATTAAACTCCGAGAAGACAAATGCTGATTGGTTAAATTTGGAAAGCCAACAAGCACCATTTGTCTGCCCTCTTAATGTCCTTGTTCAGTAGCAGTCTCCATCGCCCTGACATCACCATCAAAAATGTAAAATTCATCATTCAGGCCCAACATTAACCCTCCATTGTTCTACATATTTATTGAACTAGAGTAAAGTCCAGTAGCTACGATTTATCTTTGTTTGGCACATATGGAGTTAATGTCACAGTAGAAGTGGTTGGATTCAACACCGTGATAGAAACAGAAAGGCTGAAAGGGCTGATTACGAGGCTGTTGCTGTCAGCCATTGCACCACCTGCTCTGATTTCCTGCAGAGGGAAGCGGCCTACTGACTAAATGCTCACAAAACGAATGGCACTCCCATCATCCTCCGCTGTGATTTGTGTTTACTGCTAATTGGCAAATGCTATCACGCTAACATGCTAAAATAGGATTGAGAAGTTGGGGAACGTCATAGAATACCAGCTGGTTTTAATTTTTCAGCCTTCAAATACTGTTGTTTTGTCAAAGCGACTGGCGTCTGAGAGATAAGGTGTCCGTTGACATTGGTGCCACTAGAGTCAATATTTGACCCATGGATCATTATTTTTTCCCTTAATATCGATTGATTTTGTGACTGAAGTAATGTTTTCACTTACTGTGTGGTTAAGTTTAGGCATCGAAACCAATTTAGATTTAGGAAAAGATAAATTAAGAAAAATTAAGCACTTGTTACAAGGCAAACTTCCCGTCACCTGAAAGGAGCAACTGTGACGACACCAGCTTTGTTCAAATGTGACGCCACCAATGTGCAGTCCTGATAAAGCAGATGCTATGCAAGAATTTGGGAGTGACACTGATAATACCTCCTTATTTGATCCCAAACATGTCACTATTGTCCTTGCGAACCTTTTAGCATGCTTATGTTAGCATTCTGTGTGACTGATAGCATGGCCACATTCCCAGATCCGAGCAATGAACTTGCTAGCCGAGTACGTTATTATTACAGATAGGAAAGATGGACAAACCTATGAAACTGACTATGACCTGACCCTGGTTCAAGACTGCTAAACCTGAAGGCAAGTGTACTTGCCATTTCACTGTCAGACCAAATTTTTTTTTACACCACAATCTTTTCGGTGTAGGGAAAGTAATATTCTTTGTCACAGCATGTTATTTGTCTGCTCTAGATATCATGCTAAGTTCATGAAACTTTGTGAGACCAGGTTGAACAGGGAGAACCCTGGGAATTTGTGTTGAAACCCAAACTGGCATCCAGATCACACCAAGCCGTTGACCAGCCCCTTCTCGCACTCCTCAGCCAATCGCTTCCAATGCTGCCGGTTTTTCTGACATCCCTCCAGCAATGGGGAGCAGTACTCTGACATGCCTGCCAAAGTCTGTGACATTGACAAACACATTTCAGTAAGTAGAAAATATGACAACAAACTGAATGCAGGATGACTTTTCCAGGTATTCATCAGGTAAACTGGTTTGCAGAGATAGAAACAGCAGCGCCTGAATTACCTCATATAACTGAATGCAGATGGCATCAATGAAGGACACCTGCATGCTGGGTATCTTATCTCTTTTCTCACGATTCATCAGGTCCTAATTAGAAAAGAAAAACAAAATATATGAACTGCATCAGACAAATGCTTACAGATTATATGAAGTTCTGGTGGCAGGCAGTTTAAAGGAGCAGGGCAGTAGCTTCTAACAGCTACTTTTCAAGTCTCTAAATGGTTCTCAGGGATCACCAATTCATGACCCATATTGTCCTTTTTTTGTTCTTTCAGTGTGTTTTAGCATTGTTTGTACATGTAACAAGTCTGCAAACCTAAAACTATGTCTGCATCATTTTTTCACTGGAGCTGCCTTTCCTAGGACTGTCTCTGCCTATACTGACAAATCTGGGAACACTTTCATTGGCCAGCTGACCAGTCCTTCAGGAGGAGGGCCTTAAAGGAATATTAAAAGGTTGTTAATATATAATTAAGTTCTTCATTTAGAGTCAAAAATTATTTGTTTTCAGTTGTTTGGTTGTTTTAAGAAAAGGTTAGAATAAGTGAAAATGTCTCAATTCTGACTAAAGAACCAATAATAAACACCTACGTATTGAGTCTCAAAACATGTTATTATTTTGTAATTAACACCCCAGCAGTCATAAGAAAATGTAAAAACATATGGTTGAATATGTTCAGTGTCACTCTTGAATGAGTTGCAGTATCACTTGATTTTAAAGGAAGACATATTAAGATTAAAAACTAGAAAACCCAAAACGGGTCCCTGAGGAACACCACAGTGTACATTGTCATTCTTAGAGGAGGATACATCTTATATCAAGCAGAATAACACCCAGAGTGTTACACAGTACTTACAATAGGCTCAATGTTCAGCTCTCGCCTCTCCTTATCCCCCTGTTCAAAGAACTCAGTGGCCACCAGCTCCGCAATCTGCACCAGAGAGAACAGGCAAATAAGTTTATGTTGAATCTTTCACCAAAATGCTCTGTGACTATAAAAGACAGAAAAAAATATTTCAAAGTCCGCTTTCACTATTTTCTCTGTCATCACTATCATATCTTCACTTTGGCTTGGACACACTCGATCGTCGAAACTCTTAGAAACCCTCTGGCATATTTGAGGCAGCTTAAAATTTCAGTGGAAGCATGTTAATGAACATCCTGGGAGGCAGATTTTGTGGAGATGGCTGGAAAATCCCACTACAGAGACGACAAAATGCTATTCCTGCCGCCAGAGTCAACATTGTCAAACTTAAATACGGAGGAGATAACTTGGAGAAAACAAGATCGACTGAGAATACACGCTAAGGCGGCATATGTGACGGCTGGAAGGGAAAAAGGAAAGCCTCTAAAAACAAACGGTAGAAACAACAAGAAGTCTGCCAAAAGAGACACACTAAGTTAATGGTCTCCGTCTGTTTACAGAGAGGTAAATGAGATCTGACCGCAGCCTCGGGCTCCAGTTAGTATCACTCTGTGTGTGTTGAAGCCATCTGCAGCTCTTGATTGAGTCGGTAATCAAGCCTCAGTACTGTGGAGCTGCAGGGGAGGGGGACTCAGCCAGAGAGAGCTTATTATAGCTGACTAAAACCAACAGCACGCATGAACCAGTGAGCCTAAGTAATTTTGTCTTTATTTACTTAACCTCCTATCAGTCAAAACAATAAAAGTCTTTATGTCCACACAGCGCAGCGAGTTCCAAGTACGTACAACTGCAGTGGTGAGGGAAAGCTTCACTGCACTTCCAACAACAGCAATAAAAGACCTACCAGTGGATTTATGAAGGTATTTCAAACTGTTGGTCTTGGAGGATGCTTGCACACACTCAGGCTATGTATTCATGACCAGCATGGTGAAGCACTGGTTGGTTCTTTGGCCATCTAAGGCCGTCCAAATCAAGACCAAGTCAAATGGAATGTCAAAGAATAATTACAGGATATTACAACTCTTATGACTCCTGTGGTCAGAAATGAGAATGTAAACAATGTGTGACTGTTTTGTGTTCAAAAAAGCCTAAAAAAATCAAAGAGTTAAGGACTGAGGACCCTGCTGAGGGTCACACCAAGAGGACAGTCTGTCCTTTGTCTTATCTTTCTTCTCTTTGTCTTATATTGTTACAGAACATATTGTGGTTGCCATAAAACATGAGAGAGGGTTAACAAATTGTTTGGACATGGTGAGATGTCCAGCACAGAGATACACAGCACAGAACCAAAGTTGTCTCACATCTTATGCCTTTCGAGTTCAGACATTACAGGATCATATTGTGTAGTAAGTCTTGCTGTATATAACTACTGGCCTTCCATGTACAGCTGAAGTCTTAGGTTGGAATAATTTAAGCTCTTTTCGTAACTGCTCCACAGATTTCATGTAAGAAAATTACAATTTTGGCAAGTCTGTGATGACATCTGTTCTATTTATGACATGGTATTTTTTTGACAGTTGTTTAGAGACACCTTATTATATGTTCAGTTTATTATATCACAATTACAGTGTGCCACAAATTTATGTACGCACAATTTGTTTTACATTCAAGGCTTAGCTGACGTCATTTGAATCAGTTGGAGGAGTACCTGTGGATGTATTTTACGCCCACTATGCTTGACATTGTGGGAAAATCAAAAGAGATTAGCCAAAACCTTAAAAAAACAAATCAAAAACAACATCGTGGACCTCCAAAAGCCTGGTTTAACCTGGGAGCAGCTCCCAATGCCTCCACGTTCATTTGTAGAAACTATAGCATGTAAGTATAAACACTGTAAAGACGAAGGCAAATTCTGTCCTCAAGAAAAGAATATCCTTACACTGAAGCAAAATCACTAAAATGCAGGCCACAACATTCCTAAAATGTAGAGTGAGGTGATAACATCCTTTAATATTACAGGTTGCCATCTGATCAACTGTTAATATAAAATTACTGATACTGTGCCTACAGTATGCATTAGCCGGCTTTATTAGACCGACCAGAGTAGCAATCTACCCAAATCTACCCAAAATATAGCTTTGAGTTAATTAAGTTATTCAGTTAGACAAAACCTCTGATGAATCAAAATCAGAAGGTGTATCTTTGCAGAGGGAGAAACCAAAATGCAATAAGTTTTCCTTAAGTTCTGGTGGATGAGAGGCACAGTTTTTTTTAATGAGATCTGGATAAGGTGCCAGCATGTGTGTGTGTGTGTGTGTGTGTGTGTGTGTGTGTGTGTGTGAGAAAGAGAACAGATTTGCATGTGTGTGCATGTTTACTGCCCTGAATGTTGATTACAGGTGTTATCTGAAGACAGGGGCCCAGCTGCTTTAAATAATGAGCACTCAACTTAAAATAACGTGCACACACACCCATCCCCAGACACACACACACACACACACACACACACACACACACACACACACACACACACAGCATGTGTGCGTGCTTCAAGCTCCCTGTGTGCTTGTGGTTCCTAACAAGGTGCAGACTAACGAAGGTCACCGGAGAGATGAAACAGCGAGGACGTAGATCTCAGTTGGGTGAGGACAAAGATGAAACAAATGTGTGTGTGTGAGAGAGAGAGAGAGAGAGAGAGAGAGAGAGAGAGAGAGAGAAGGAGGGAGTGTTCAGAGGTAAATAGAGTGAGAAATGACAGAATCAAGGATGAAAGACAAACAAAGACACGAGGCTAAAGCTCTACATGCAGAAATCTTTAAGCGTGGTGCACAATCGGTGTCACAGCAAGTCTTTCTCGTTAGTTTTCAAAGGTGAAAAACTGACTGCAGAGAAACATATCAAACTGTTTGGAGCCAGCGTTCTGCCCTTTGTCGGGCGGTAAAGACTTAATCTTCAAAGGACTGATTCTGACATTTAACCCTCTCGACCTCACAAACCCGTAGGTGGGTTCGAGAGACATTTTACTTTTAGAAAACTGCCAAACTTACACCATTTATCACAGTAAGGAGCTACAAAAGCAGGAAAATCTTTAGATGTTGAACTAATCATGTGGACGTGTGGTTCAGTCTTCAAAGTAGCCAAATCTAAGCCTAAAATTGTGATGTTTAATCATAATAACTTTAGTCTACATGGCTCATTTTGCCTAAAATTACCCATTTGCACCAGATCATGTAGAAAACTAAATATTCTGCACTCTTTGGCACGACCAGAACGTATAAATAACAGTCATGTAACAAAAATTCAATGACTTTTTGAGTGAAGTGCAGGCAGTGTTCACACAGAGCAGAGGTTTTTCCACGTTTGTTAAATTTTTGTTGAAGAAATTATCAAAAAAAGTCAACTTTCATGCTTTCTTTCTTAATGTTTTTTCCTATTAACATTACAACGTTTTAATCACTCTACTTCTAGCGATGGTTGTGTTGTCTCCATAGAGGTGCAGCACTTTACATTGCAGTGAAAAATGAGCCCACACGGAGTAGAAAAGTGACATGAGGGGGAAAAAAAACCTTCCTAGAACCTGCTTGGGGTTCTGAAGTTAAATCTGCACTTATCAACATTTTGTCATTTCACTTGTAATGTCGAAGCAATGGAGAATCGTCCAATGGTGCAGTTTCGTGATGGTTTTTAAACTTCTTTTAGCGTCCTGTCTTAGGCAACTCTTTGCAGATAAAAGGATCTGATGAACCATCGTACATTATCTGCCTGGGACCAAACAGCAGACTGGCAAAATTAGCACCCAGATGCTAAGCTCGCAGCTAAAAGTTTAGATAGCCGGAGACCAAAATGGCCAAAAGGAGTCTGACTATCAAAGTTTCATTTATGAGGTGTACAAACAACTCAAAATGAACGCTAATGTTACTCTGTCTTTGCTGGACGTGTAAACGGGCACCTCTTTGCTGATGTGTTAGTTATAACAACCTAATAACATCATAGTACATCTGAAAACAGCTCATCTAATTTATTTGGCAAAAAAACAAAATAAAATTGTAAGCAGCTTTAAGAGCCGTATTAAGCACGACATTCCTGTAACGCTGTCAAACGTACAATGATTCAGAACCATGAGTACAAACATTCCTTTTCCTTCTGACCGGTTGGTAAAAGATTTGGTGAAAGTAGCAGCTGAACAAAGAGGTCTGGTTTGCTCTCTTCTTTCCAGCTCTCCACCCTCCACCGGTTTTCTCATCTCATTTCTTTTTATTTATGACCATTCGGAGAACCCAACCTCTAGCTTGGGAACCACTTGACTAAAGTAGCTAACTGTAATTAAAGTAGCTCCAGCTCAGGAGCTATCACGATGAAATGCTGCTTGTCCATTGATGGATCGGTATTAAAAAAAAAAAGAAAAAAAGAAAAGAAATCTCCAGTCTACTGGGTTCTGCAAAATAAGTGCTTCTGCCTTTGATACAACCATTGATTTATCTGATGCAAGTAGCTTGAGTAGGAAATGAAAGGCAGAACTTGTACTATAGAAGTATTTCTACACTGTGATGCTTTTACTTTAACTTGAGTGAAACATATGAATACTTTTCTTCCTACAAACTTTGCCTCCTGTATGTGCCACTGATTGACCTCATAAAGCTTCATTCTTGCACTGAGACTGATGATCTTGCAGCGTAGACGTCATTTTAAGGGTATGTAGGGATGAATAGCATTCTGTCATGTCTCCTACAGAGAAAAACTACAGAAAGCAGAAGCAAGGACAGAGTGAGGGAGCAGATAAAGAAGCACAGATGGCTTTTTTGTTTTTACCCTTTTTTGCACTGGCCAGGGCTTCGTGATGGCTGAGATGTCACATGCAGTCATCAGCATTGACCTGAGGGGGGAGACACACAGTGACATTGTGAACAACAGCTCCTCATAGCATAATCACAGGGGATTTGTGGTGCTGAAAGTTAGGTATGAATGTGTTTTGTGTGTTTAACATCACTAACAGAATCTTGAGTCTTTACATAGGTAGGAAAAGAATTCTGGGAAATTAAAGCTGCAATAATACAACGAATTTATAAAAATGTCTACATTTTAGGTAATGCTTGTTTACATCTTTCACAGAATAGGATGAAAGATTCCACCCAGGGTTACAGAGTTAACATGGAGGTTGTAGTTGTGATCGAGGTAACAGATTAATGTGTTGAACAATCTGTTTTCCTGGACAATGCGATTTGTGGGGTTTTTTTTTTGGTGTTCATGGTTAGAAATTTCAAATCTATTTCATTGTTCTGTACACCTTTGTACAGAAACATACTCCTGAAGAGAGTGATGATGACAGAGCATGATGAAAACACTAAATCTGTGTACTTGTTGTTAGTCGTACTTTTACTCACTCCCTGTTTAACATCATCAGGGTTGCAATTGAAAGAATACGGCTGAAACACCAGGGAAATATATCGAAGCAATACATAGATTTAATGTAATACACAACTGTATAGAGTTAGATCTACTCGTCGTGGGGCAACGATATTGATGAGCCTGTTAATTTACACAGTGATACAGTTTTTTTTTCCAGCTTTCCTTCCTGCTTTGGCTCCTTTTGTATTACCTGTGTTATATTTCTAAATGCATGATCGCATGTTGTTAGATTTAGTGGAAACAGTTCTTAAAATTAAGTAGATTTAAAATGAAGTGTATTGTCAGTCGTTTGGTCAGGTGACCTTTTGGAGCACGCTTTAGCATCTTTCCATTGACACTAGTTGGCAGCAGTGGTTACGCGTCTCAACTATTTCTTGGCAAACAGCAGCCAAGTGCAGAAAATGTATGCGTCTACCTGCAGTTGTTACAGTGATTGTGGTGATTGTGGTAGGCTCGATCCCACTGAGACCACACAGATACCTAAACCTGTTGTCGCCACCTGTATCTGGCAACCCGCTCCACAGCTAATGCAAGGAGTTCCAGTGCATACAACAACTCATATTCGAGGTTTACTTTTTGACCTTTAGCCAGAGCTGCTTCCCCCTGTTTCCAGTGTTTATGCTAAGCGAGGCCAACTGTGTCCCAAAGTGTCAAACTACTCCTCTGAAGTCAAACTCTGTGTGTCCTCTTGTTAATTATGGTGCAAGTGTTATTTTTATATTCACCTCAGTAAGTCTCTGTGATGTTCGTCCTCCCAAACAAACTGGCTGTTCTTGGTGAGCTCAAAGAACTCCCCTCGCCTCCTGACAACACACACACACACACACACACAGGTACAATGACAAGGCAAGTAATTATCCTCATATATAACCCACTTAGCCCCTTACCACCCACTGTCTAGACTGCAAGAGGGACGAGATAAGAGCTGAAATCACTGAGGCAGATGAATGAAAAGAAGTGAAGAAGAGGGCGTGAAAGGGGATAAAAAAGAGAAATTAAACGCACCAAGAGCTATATATGTAGACTTCTTCCATTAAAATGGAACATTTTCATCTCTTTTTTTAAGGTGTGTGTTTTACCACCAGAGCTCCTAAGTACACACAATTCAAAGCACTTGGCAGGTGGGTTGTTCAAGCATCGTTGAGAGTTCTTCTGTCTGTTTGCTTTTCCAGTGCTGTGCATCATTGCATAATTGCGAGCTGCCTTGGGACTGCAGATGTAAATTACCTCTGTGCTAACTGTGTTATAAAGGAACAATTTATGACTTCGACTGCACAAAAACAAAGTTTGAACAAGAAAGTGCAAACATTACACTGCTTGTATTTGAACTGAAGATTAGACTTCCTGCATAATCATCTAAGGGAAAAGTAATGAAGACGTTAGGAGGGGGTGTGATCGTTTTCTGTGCTCCTGAGATGAAAGACGCAGCGTTGATCGGATGCTATGAGCATCTTCTCCTCCCCTCTACTCCTCTCCAGCTCAGATTTCCATCTGGGCCTGACATTTGGTACCTACTTCATGTACAGGGCGAGGTCGGTGGCCAGAATAGCCCTCTCGATCATCTTCAGAGTGGCCTTGTACTCGTCCAGGGAGAGACCGCTGAGGATCTGGTTTCCCTGGAGAGAGAAAAACAGGGAGAAAACTGTGTGAGTGCAGGGATAGCTCTGCATTCTATGCAATGATTTACACTTTATACGGAGTTCATACGTGGATGTTTCACTGCGTGTGTGCTGACACAGGTTGAGATAGCAACCCTCTGAGGAGCAGATACTATGTACCGATAGTGCTGACTGCAGTTTACACAGCGATAGCCCGCCGAGGCGTTGCCATGACAACTCTAGACTGCAAAGCACATGCAAATAAATTATGCAACTGAATCCGATCCACACGTCTTGAGTATATGCATGTGTACTGAGACATTACTCTATGTCCGCACCACTTGGAGTTCTGTTGAGAGTGAGTGCCTGCGTTAAAGCTTATCAGCCTGCATGTGACAGGGTTTGCAACGGGGAGTTGGCGTCCTTGCTTTGTGATAATGTGCCCAGCAGCTCTGGGGTTAAGTGGTGCTGTGGAGTCTGGAGTGTATTTAGAGTTTGTTTTGAGGCCATAAAGATCAGAGCGGGCTGTAAGTCGCTGTATTTTATGGGGCCATCAGAGAGTTCAGTGGTAGGCTAGCAGCTGGAAAATGAGCAGAATAGGCATAATAAATAAGATAGAGACATCCAGAATACTGCAGCAGGCGGGCAAGAGCATTATGGCCTGTCAATAGCAGCAATCAAGCAACTGTTCTTTGCAGAGTGTACTGGCAAACTCAGGCTGACATGATTTGGACAACTTCTAATGCAATTAGATGCAACCAGCCAAATATGATTAGACAAAGTTTGTTTTGTCTTTTTTGTTTCTGACTTTCTTAAGAAGCTTTAATTAATCAATTCAACAACAAAATTGTTGGTAATTAACCTTTTGTAACTGCAATTTGTGTATTTCAATACCTGCATAAACAACACACATTTTAATGAATATGAAAAAAGCCCCCTGTAGCGGAGCAGATTTGTCAAATGAGACTTTATGTGTTCCAGCTACAGGTCCTCTAACACACAATCTTAACCGACTACATTCAGTAGGTAGAGGAGGAGACTTAAAATCCTGAACTCAAGGAAAAGAAAAATTAAGTTCTCAAGCTAATTTTATTAAGTTGCTACCACTTGAATGTTGTTTTTATTCAACGAACACAGAAATTTGAGTTCCTGTTTCTCACAATATTAAGCTTACGCATTTACCAGTCTAGTTACGTCAACCCAACCCATCGAAATAAGGTTTGCAACTTGAAAGGTTATTCTAATTCGGTACATTTTTATCTTGCAATTATACATTTGAATAAGTGGGAATAGGTTCCTTAAAATACTTTTTAGTCTGTACATGATAAAAGGTTCAGGTTAAAAAAAAATAAAGCCAAGATTTATCCTTGAAGTGAATGAAATTGAACTTGTGGTGCTCACAAAAAAGCCACTCTTCAAATGAAACTACTTTCTACTACTTTCATCGTGATTAAAGACAGATGACAGTCTGCTCTGTGGATTATTCAGAGTGAAGGTTTGACAGAAAAAGTGTATAACCAAGTACATCAGCGTGTCCTTGTGAATGAAATGGATCCAGCAGGTTTGTGTCGTGTGTAGTCGCAAGTGCCCTAGTCCGCCAGAGTCACACTGATGCTGATTTTTCAACATTTGGCTTACTAACTGTAGGTCTGCAAGCTAGCATAATCGCCAACCAGATAATAGGTTGACTACTGTGTGCAAACCACAACACTTTTGTGCAGTAGTTTAGCTGAGTAGGAGAGCTGAAGTCATGATGTCATGTTCAGGATGGTCTCAGTTCCATTAGCTTCAATAAATCAAGTAAATCTCCCTTTGAGTATCTCTTTAAAGGGATTTTCTGAAAAAAAAAAAAAATAATGTGATACTGCCAAGAAATAGCATTTTACGACACGATTTACAATTAAATAATGAAAACATCATTACTTTAAAATGAGCACAGAAAAAAACTACAACTCCCATGAAAACTCGCAATAATGGCGGCGTGGTTTTTCCTACATCATCTTGTCTGAGCTAACTGTGATCCCCAAACCTGCTCGTGGACTTGACTTTTCAGTTGAGCCGTGATGTTTAATTTGCAGTGGTGCGTGGGCTTATGGGAAATGCAGTTTGTTAAAGACGGCTACGATGCTGGATTGATCCCTTACGATTCAGCCAGACTGAAACATCATAACAAAGTCAGTTTTGTCATTTTGTTAGCAACTTAACTGTTGCAAACAGCAGTTGAATTTTAAGTCCTAGGAGTAACTTGTGGTGCAACTATTTCCAATCTCCACTGAGTAAACACTTTTGTTAACACATAAACCAAAAGTGCACCTTCCACTGACAGTTGGGTTCAGTCTTTGGCGGGAAGGCCTGCAGCTTAAACAGGCCAGACTGTTGGTGGGTGGGAAGCCAGTGAGGGATACTGTCCTGGTTTTTACACTGGGAACTATAACTAGTTGGGGGAATGAGTCGAGATGAGCTGGCACAAAGCAATTCCAGCACTTTAAAAGGATTTAGTGAGGATACACTTATTATATTACATTATGCGCTCAGTATTTTTATTGGATTGTAGGCATTGCTATTACATTAAAAACTTTTATTAGTGTTTTTTTTCTTACTTTATAGGCAGTTATTAAATTATCGGTTTCTGCTGGGGTTTTTTGGCAATCAGTTCCAGAAAAGGGAGTAGCGCCCTGTGATCTGGAGCTTCAATGTGGACAAATAATACTGACTGTTGTAGGACGCAACGAAGAGCTTTGATAAAGATTTTAAAATTATTTGTGAGCCACAATGAAAAGGGTGCAGATGGAGCTTTCTGTCTGGTAAAAGCTCGGCTGCTGCATACAGATTCAGATGCAGCTGTGAAAGGCCAACTGATGTCATGTTTTGCATAACTGTGAAACGAGGAATGAGGCTAAAATGCGGGCGTGAAGATTCGATTCACCGGATGTTTTCGCTCCCTCTGTTCTCCTCATATTACATTGAGAGCAATGGTGGTAGTGACAGCTCTTCGTGCCACAGAAAATGCATCACGAACGTGTTTGACACTTGTGATCATTTTTTGAACTTCTTTGCTGCCTGTGAGGGTCGATGACTCAAAGTCTGGGATTCTGTAAACCGGCTCTAAAACCAAATGATACTCTGAAGAACGCTCATTAGAACTGCAAAACAGAGCAATATTTTTCTGTCATATAAACACACTAAAGGCAATATTTTGCAAAATGATCATCATTTCTGTGCTGATATTGAAAATGTTTATTAAAGCTGAGCTCATCATGAATCAAGTTAATATGTGTAAAGTATGCAAAAGGGCTTAGTCATTGTTACAAGAGAATTGACTAAATGACACACAACACCTAATAAATACTGGATTTTACACAGTCTTAATAACTTCAACTACACATTTTTTCATTGTGAAACATTTTACAGTAACACTTGAGCTACTGACTGAAAATGACGTAAACAGGATGGATTTTTTGTGTAAAAATAACATAATATTGATGCATTAAAATTGGATTATTATGTGAATTTATGGACAAGATATGAACATTTTATTGAAGAGAAAGAGGTAAAGCTTTAAACTGTTGCAGGCAACATATATCCTGGAACTAGAAACTCGTCCTGCTTCATGTCGGCGTATGTGTCACCCACCAACAGCTCCAAACCTCTCTAATACACAAGGGGATTACTTGCATGTCAAGTCTGTATAAATTGCTACATCAATATTATTCGATATAAACCAGTGTTACTGCTCTTCTGGACAGGTGTTTATCATTGAACTGTGTTACTGGTCAAATCGCGCACACACACACATACACTCCTGGGTGGCGACTCTGAAATATGCAACAGGATTCTGACTGAATGATTCCACAGTTGGTCACTTTCAGATTTCACCCCAGTGTCTATAAAAGGAGCCAAGTCAACCTGCAGAAAACCTCCGATCAGACCAGTAGAGGCACAGCTTTAGTTTCCAGATCATTACAGCGAACATATCTTACTATACCTCGGTAGGCAACACATAAACATCTCTGCTATCAGAATAATTGAGGAATGCTATAAATACTGACCTGATTAAAGATGATGTTAATATTTGGGATTTTGAAAAATCAGAAATTGCAATAAAATGTCTCTAAAGGATAAACCCAAAACAATGACACTGTTTCCAAATGATCTTAAACTCACTTGACCCCTACTTACTCATCTGCTAGTAAATTTCATGTTTCGTACAGGCCTTCATACAGTTCACACTGTGAATGTTTGAGAAACTGAAACTTGGCCCTCTCAACCAGATGCAATTTCAGTTTTTTTCTTTTCTTTTTTGCTCCTGTCAACTCATGTTTTTCACTGCAATATAAAGCAAAACAGCACAATCACTGCTTGAAGTAGACAGAACACAAAAATGTGGTTTGTGCAGTATGTCACAGTTATAATGCCCTAAAAAACAACAACAAATAAAACCCCCTAAAGTTTCTGAATTAGCTGAATGAATACATTTCTTTGATTATTTTCTTGAATCAATATGCAAATCATTTCCCTAAGTACCCACAGGTGTTACCAGTACTGGAAAAAAATGATGGCTCTACATATCACAGATATTACACTACTTACATTTTTAATTGGTTTCTATACTATCTGCTCTGTGTAAACACCGCCTGCAGTTCAGCTGAAGTTCCCTAATGGTCACTAATCACTAATGGCTTCTTGGTTGTAAAGTGGAGTGAAGATATATAGTTTTTATACAGAATCTAGTTTGAGAAAACTGCTTATTTTGGTGATTTTTAACAATACATGTAGAACAAAAGGATGTTCTGATGAAATTTAAAGACTTTAAGCTGATTTGGTGAATTTTTCTGATGGGACAACACCACATACATGAATACTTTGTCCCATATATTAGCGTAACTGTGTTAGCAGTGTAGCGATGATTAACACGGGTTTTGTGTTATTAAAAGAGGAGCTCTGAAAGGATACATAGACAGGTGTAACTATACTGAAATGGAAACTAAAACTGCCAATTGATTTGTGCCTCATGAAACACATCTTCACGATCATAAGTAATATTATAACATCTCCTGCTTGTTAGATAAAGTGAGAAACCGTTTAGGACTGATGTCTCCTCTAATGAGGTAGTTGGTAGGCAGAGGGATGATCCTGAGAGAAGGATGATGGGTGTGTGTGTGTGTGTGTGTGAGAGCGGGTGCACCTACAGGACTGTTGAGGATCATGAGGCACTGGTCGAAGTGGTGATGCTCCATGGTGGAGTGGCAGTAGAGCTGGGCCAGTGGGTGGTCACTCCTGCGAAAAACACACATGTAAGAATCCAGAGTGCTCCCACACATGCGTATACAATCATACATGCGCCTCGGTGACTCATGCTCTCCCGCTGTACCTCTGTATGTAGGAGTTGTTGACTCCTCTGTGGTCCAGGTCATGGCTGAGCGTTGCAATCATCAGAGCCAAGACCTCCACGTCGCTCAGGTTATTCTGGACGGGAAGATAAAGGAAGGGGAGGACAGTTGGACGACAGAATGGAGGTGAGAACGAAAACAAAGAGAAAATCCGCCCACACGGTGGCAGCTCCTTCACAGATGACAGTCTGTTGCCACAATCAAACCAAACATAATGGCTGTTATGTGTACACACAGTGCTGTTGTAACTCTCCACACACTGTTGGCAGTGTGGGCGCTCAGCCTGGAGTGGACGGCAAGGCTGCTTCTGCATATGACACAACAGCTTTCGTATCGCAGCTGCAGGTAGTTGCCAATGTTTCATGCAGAGATGATTGTTTTGTATCATGGGAAACACAAATATTCAGTGTTTTCCAAACAAATTTTGTTCTTGGCGATGCAGGAGAGCCTTTGAATCGTGTTCACCATCCATAATAATTTAGCTCATTAGCTACAAATCATGTAAATTTATTTTTTCTTACTTTCTTTTGTGCTATCTATCTATCCATCTACCTATCTACCCATCTACCCATCTACCCATCTATCTACCCATCTATCTATCTATCTATCTATCTATCTATCTATCTATCTATCCATCTATCCATCCATCCATCCATCCATCCATCCATCCATCCATCCATCCATCCATCTCATTTAATTCTATAAATCATCTGTTGAACACCAACTTTTCAAGAATTTTCCTTTACAGCGTTTCCTTCACGACGCCCACGTTTTGTTTTTCCGGCGTATCTTCACTGTTTCATTGTCAAAAGAGGTAATTTATCCACTCAAAGCTCTTCTGTAACTTTCTCTCAGAAATCCTGTATGCGCAATCAAGGACAGACTTTAACAATAACGTGAAAAGTTGTTTACTTAAATGGATTTTTTCATTATGTGCGAGTTCCGTGCTGTACAGCGCCTCGCATTGAGCTGAAGGAAATCAATCAAAGTGTGTTTTGTGTCTATAGATACGAGAAAGATAAGTTTGTTCATCCTATAAAGCAGGGAAAATAACACCACATTATCTCTGAAGCGACAGTATTTGAATTAAAAGCATTATCAACTGGCTGCTCCTACCTGTAAGCGCCCGGACTTGAGGAGTGCAAACATGCACTGGGATGTGTTGAAGGCATGTCTCCAGTTGTGATAAGCCACATTCTTCCTGTAGTTCTTCTTAACGCTCATAATCCACTGACATAAACTCTGCAGAGGAGAGAACATGCAGAGAAAGATTTATTGAACCCATGTAAGCCACTTTCCCCAGGCAGAAGGGGAATGTGACGAACGTGGTGTAGGTGTTAGAAATGTGCTTGTCGTAATTTGATTAAGTACACATTTATTTAGTAAAACACACCGTGAACTATAACAGCACTGAAACTGTAAATAACTTGAATGTAAATGTTAACTAAGAGCCCGGCTACAAGTCAGGGCCAAGACATTGCGTAACAATGCAGCTGTTGCCGTAAATGAAAGTCCAGCGTTCTCATACATGTGTCCACTTCGACTATAGATCATGCAAACTTTGCACTCGCTGCATCAATTGTAAGGATTTGTGCAATTTGTCTGCCTCAAGTATTTCCACAGTTTTGCATAAACTATTCCGATTATGCTTGTCTCAGAGACTCACTGTAGCTAAGTGCATATGAATCTGCCTCTGGGTCAACTTGCATATTACATTATGGCATTCATATTTTTGTTTTTCCCGATAAATCTCAGTAAAATATTCACTCTCCTTATGGCGCTACTTTGACTCTGTCGCTGCTTCACTGTGTTCACCAGCCAACTTTGTCTGTGATGTGTTTGGTGTTTATCAGAGATTTTTTATTTTTTTTTGCTGAAAACATCTGGTTGTTGTGGTGAGAGCAGCGGAGCCGAACAGCAGCAGTAAATTTGCTGGCCACATAAGGTTAACCTTCTGAACTACAAGCAGTTTCTTCATGTTTTTTTTTTTTTGCTCCTGTCACATTTTTACTCCCTGTGGGCTCATTTTTCACTGCAGTATGAAGTCACACACCTCTATGGGAAAAGAACAACTACGGGTGGAAGTAGAGGGGACTCAAAGATTACTTTTGTGCATTTATGATGACTTGAATTGAGGAAAAAAAAACAAAACACACTTTATTTATTTGACAAAAACTGAAAAAACCTGGAACCATTTTTCCGAGTACTAACAAGAGTTAGGAATACTGGGGGGAAAAAAATGAGGCTCTGCATACTATAGATATTTTACTCCTTATAATTTAATTTGTTTCCATACTTGTCTCCTCTCTGCTCTGTGGAAACACAACCTGCAGTTCAGGTGAGAAATCCCACAGATAAGTCACACCTGAGTCACTCTTGACCTCTAAGTTGCTCAGAGGGGCGCAGAATCATTCGTTTTTTTAAAAATCTAATTGATGCAAACCTGTCGAATAAAGTGGTTTTGTAGAAATATCCCAATATCAACCATAAGTTACACATCATTACATTAAAATCTATTAGAAGTTGTAATTTTTCTGATTTTTAAAAAAGATTTTGTTGGTTGAGCAGATTAAAAAAGATCCAGACAACTGGCAGAGTTGGCAGGTTTTCTGTGGGTTTGTCATAATAAATCTCATCTTTCCCATTACGCATACAGTCATTTGATCCTCTTTTACTACAAAAATATTGATTAGTGCATCCTTAAGTCTCCATGCAGCATCTATACTGCACTGTAATGGTGCATACGGTATTAAACATATGTGCAACTTATTGCCACACACACACACAGGGTATTTAGATGCACTTATTCAACCATGAAAGCTTTTTTTTTTATTCTCATGTTAGTGAGAAAACTTGTCACCATAATCGAAGATAAATAGATATAGAAATACTGGATGTGTAATTGGTTGACTAATCGGTTTGTTGCATCTGCAAAGAGGATATGACATTGTAACATTTATGTGTTGGCCTGCAGAAGCCCAGGAAGGTGTCACTGGCAGAAACAGAATTATAATTATCAACAGGCCGACAGCAGATGCGGGAAAACATCAAGCAAACAGCAGCATCACAGGAGCAATGAAGAGACCCTGTTAATGCTGAATGCCACGCAGGAGTCCGACATCATTAAGTGTAAGCAATGCCATTTTCTTTTTCTTTTTTTTTCCTCCCCACGGTGTTGTATGATGATAAATTCAAGTGACACATTTGAATATATTTTGTGAAATCTGTCAAATTCGATGTATTTCGCAGCCTGATGTGTGGCTCAAAAAAAAAGCTACATTGTAAGTGGGTGTAAAATAACAACAGTAGAGAGGAGAAGTAAATGTGATGAGCAAAGGGACTTAACTGCCAGGATGTTTGCCCTTTCTCAAAGTGAGGACTCAGCACCCTGCCTGCAAATCAATGCCCTCTGCTTTGTTAGTCTGCGCTACGCTACACGCTCATCATGACTGCACAGCGAATGAAAACTAATCCAATCTCAGGCACCATAAGAACCGCAAACCATTATTCAGCTAATCAAATAATGGCTCATTTTCTCCATAGGGATCATTATAATTTGATTTAAGATCGGAATGAATGACTGTAGAACGATAAATATGTTAGAAAGGGCAATTAAATAATAACATGTCGCTCGGTTCAGCCCCCAGGTGGTGATGCTCTCGGGGTGGCCGCCGTGTCGGCCCGCGGTGTCAGACTGACAGCCTGTGCTGCTGGAGGGCCTTCATTTCCTCCAATCAAAGCCTTTCTTTGTGAGGCCTCTCTCCCGCAGGCACTCCGGAGGTCAGCCACCAACATACAAGGACCTCTTCACGAGAACAGCGCGCTAAGGAGGCGAGCCAAAACCCACCAGCGGCCGGGCGATGCTGTGGCGCCGAGGGGGAGCCAGACGAGGGGAGCGTTGGGTCTGACAGACGGCAGTAATGGAAGGAGAGTGTGTGGGTGATTTTTTATTTAGGGGAAGTGTTTTAGGTGCATGACGCTGCCGTGTGTGTGTGTGTGTGTGGTCTCTGAGTTAAGGATGCAAGCAAACACACAAATATTAACTGGGTTGTAAATGCATTCACTCATCCTCCAACACACACACACACACTAATGTTCTAGCGGTCTAATGCTGCTGACGAGAAGCAGATTGTTTTTCTGCGATTCCTAACACAACATGCTGCTCTTCTTATGACATGTTCTGAGGACAACAACGTGCTAAAGTGTTGTCTGTTGTAACTTTTGGGCTGTTTGCAACGACAAGCCTTCATGTATTCTACTTTACAGCCTAAAAATAACCCGTGCCTATGTCGTAACCTGTGACGTTTTCTTCATTTTTTTGTCATTTGATGAGATATTTGCAGACTTTTTTAGCGATAAAAAAATAACCCCCAATTTTTCTAGTTTTACATGTCTCTTCCCGTAAAATGCTGGCAGTAGACATGTCTTTTTGTTTCAAATCTGGTAATATTAGAAGCACTCACTCAAACAGGTGGCCACTTGTGGCTGTGTGCCGATAACACTCAAAACAACCATTGTATTGGAGCCAATTAACGACTAATTGATGATAATGCTTCTCGTAAAGCCTAAAGTGTGTCCAGCAGGATGTCACTGGGTAATTAAACTCAAAAGGGTTATTTCCCTAACGAGCATGCTCAGGAAATGTCATGGTAACCTGAATATTAAGCTGTGAGGGATATCTTTTGTGTGTAGTTGTTGGATTTTGCTGGAAAAAAATAATGTGCCCAAAAAATAATGAAATGGTCTTTAAGCAGAGGGATGAGCACGGATCACTTAAAACACAAGATTTGGAGTTTTTTTTTGTACCTTGTTAATATGCCCATATGGGTTTTTGCTAGAAGACATATCATGAGTGAAACAAGCAGTCAGCACCATGGCTGAGCATGTCTCAAAGTCTCAAAGACACAAATTTAGACAGCCAGGGTTTCATACGTATACATGCTACGAAACCAATCCTGTCTACTTGCAGGATGGTGGCTTCCATACCAATACCCTTCTTTATAATTTACTGATTTAATTAACTAATCTAGTTAATTGGCTTCCAGCTTCAACATGTACTTACCGTTGTGTTGCGCACTGTTGGGACTATGCTGCTATGGACATTCTCGAGGACGGTATAGTTACATTCAAGCCACGTCAATGCATGAAGGGATTATTTTTATTTTTAAAAACTTCTAAATATGTAACTTTGATATACAGGGATGAGCTTTTTGGGATTTGAAACAATGACCGGATGGGGACTTTAATTGGTGTTAAGGCTTCCACTTGTACAACATCCCATTCTTACCGTGTACTTCATCTGGAAGTTCTGGACCAGGTTGAGGTCGACAAACATCCGGATGGTAGCCAGCGTGGTCTCAGTGTCCGACAAGTCGAAGTCGCTGAAGCTGAAGTCCAGAAGGCGCAGCGACTGGGCCGACGGCACTGTGGCTACCTTCAAACACACACAACACAAACACTTAGAGGCAGCAGTTCACCTCCTGCATTATTTAGTTGGACTAATGAGTAGTAATCACTTCCCAGATCCTTAATCCCAATTCTTATTTCTGCCACAGTTACATAAGCAACTTTAACTACACAATCATGTGGGCTTTTCATCTTACGGTGCTACGCAGCGGCCTCTTGGGTAGAAAGTACCCGAAAAATCAAGCCTGTGTCCTAGATACCGAGTGACACATCCTCTTTCTGGCACTCGAGGGAGGCCACTTAATCAGGCTACGCTGTTCGTTCAGCCACATTGCCATAAGGAGAGGAGAAAAGAACGCGACCTTTTCAGACGGTCATGTAGTGTCATTGTTACGGCTGGTGGAAAAAGTCGAGCTGTGTTGACTGGTTCATATTTGGAGAGCCGCCCTGGAGTTCTGCCAGAAAACCATTTACAAATGAGCTACTTCACAAATTCGTAAGACAGTCTGATTGCAGGGAGGTCCTTTAAGTTTTGGCTCTTTTGTGCACAAAGCTAGAGGGCCATTTATTTCAAGTGAACACTAAAAATAGTAATTTTCCATCAAATTACTACTAGTGGTAATACACATTTGACGTTTAGAGCGAGGTGATTAACAGTCTCACCGATTACCACGCATTAAGGTTGCATAAATCTTTAGTTTTAAAATCATTTTTGGAGAAAATGCAGCTTCTACTTTAATATTTGTTATATCAGTTGTGTTTTTGTTGTACTCAGGAAAGCAATTATAGCCAAAAGAAGAAAAAAATGGTGTAAGAAAACAATAAAAGAATCAGATAACAAAAAACTACATCTGAATATTTAGTGTTTCATAAAAGAGAAAACACATACCAACAGTAAACTTACCAAACTCTCTGCTGTAAATGTCCATCACACTTCTACATTTACTCTACTTGTGTGAAGGAGTTACATTAAACAATTTTACAACTGTACAGACTTCATAGCTTCCAAATAAATGTGTAGTTAATCTAGCTAAATTATCAGCTTCTTTAAAATCTGTATATTTGCCTGAATGCTAGCGTTTCTTGCAAGACCTCATTAAGACCACATAGCCTGCTGGCAGGTTTGTAGGGCATGTAACATTTAAATAATTGTCAAAATGTTTTAAACAATGAATTGTCGTATTCTTAGATTTCCACATTCTTTGAATTAACCAAGTGTGACGTGGTAACCAAATCGAAGCGTATTAATTGTGATATTGTGATACAATTAACAGATAAATTCTATCTAAAAACCACCTAAAATGCATTTATGTGTGAAAAAGCTGTAAAAATTGTTAAACAAAAGTAAAGAAAAAATATCTATAAAGCATCACTAAAAGATCTGAGAGTAACTTAACACTAGCTCTACTAAATGACTTATAAAGTTGGTAGTTAGCTGTAACATGTAATCCCTTCATGTTGCCATCAGTGGATGCTAAATGAAATGGGAGTTGTGGGGGTCAGTGATGTTGCCCTAATCTTCAGAACCCCTAAAACTAAAACATTAATTAGGGCATGCTGCTGAAAGTCCGTGGTGATTATCCCAAAATCACAGAACTGTTATTTTACACTCATAACTTTTGCTTTTTTTGTTGCAATTTGAAAATAGATGTTTCTGCCAGACCAGGTTATAAAATATCCCATAGACAGAAGACAGTTGTTTTCCTTCACTGAGGTGTCTGAAGTGTGGAGGAGACGCCTGGGGGACATTTACATGATGAATAAATCAAAAAGTTTTAGTTTAAACGTGGCTAGACACAGACGACATCTCAAACTTTTCTAACCACTGCATTATTAACTATTTCTTGGAGCAGCAACAGCATCACTGAGCAGCTGGCTGCAGAAACTAAAGACATTCAGAAACTCTAAGCAACGATTAAAGTGCCATACCTCCAGCGGCTGTATATACAATAAATGCATGAAGAGAGCTGTTAAACACCTTGTTTTGGATTAAAGGTTGAATCAAAGAACATCTAAATGTGACATCAAATGCAACGCTGTCGGGCGTCTCTTTGAAACTTTAGATACATCAGTAAAATATGACAAGTGTGTAATTCCATGTACGTTCTGCCACTAGAACTGCCTCTGTGTCGTTTGAGTTTTAATCCAAAGCAACAGATCGGTCACACACTCTGTTTATCTCTGACTAAATAAGCTGCTGAGGCCCTGGAGTGCAGCACTTCAGTTAACTAATAATAGAACAGAAAACATAATAATAATAATATGTTCCTGCCTGCTGTTTATTGAAAAGTCATGCTCATTAGAAACAAAGTCATATTAAAGAAATTATGTGTTTTATATTTAAAAGGCTGTTTTCTGAAAACTCAACAACAACTGAATTTGCAGAAACAGTGATTCAGAAATGTTGGTGTGAGTTTTATTAATAGATAAGACTAAAAGTTTTCTGAACTTGTCACACTTTCTGAAATATAAGTGCTTTGTGAATAACTTAAAATTATTCTTTTGTCTGAAATGTTTCCTATTTTGTTTATCTACTTTCTGAGATGTAAATGTTACCAAAATATATAACTTTTACTGAAACACTGTTTTCTGAAACGCACAACTTTCTGATATTTTCCTGTAATACGGTTTCCTATTGTGTTCATTACATGTCAGCTTATGTAAAATGCCATTTCTGAAATTTACCGCATCGAAAATATTCGTTTCCTGTAAATTTCTGTTTTCTAAAATTCGATTCTGTCATTGGAAAGTTTTTCTACATTTTAAAGTTTTCCAAATTTAAGCGATTACCTTTGCTTAACTAACTTTTCTGAAGCATTGTTTTTGAAATGTTTTAAGTTGTGCTGACATATTGTATTTGGCACCACCGGGCCTCCGTAGAGGTCCTGAAACCATACAAACTTGTAACTTGGAGCTCAGTATATGCAAAATGGTAAAGCCTTTAGATCACAAAATACCAAACTATTATTGTATTTACCAGAGTTCTAGGATTAAATTCTGTTCATATGAACGCCTGAATGATATTTTTGATTAGGAAACACTGACTATCAGACTTTCTTTTCTGTACTTTTTAAATTTTTGTATGACAAAATTCCTAAACATGGACACCGAGTATCAACTAATTCCATTGTTCAGGGTAATTAAATGCCACTTCACTTCAACACATTTAGAATTCTGCTAGCCAACTGTGACTGTGCAATTGTGTGTTTGTGAAGAGGTCGACCGTATGGAGCTGCTATCCTGGTGCTTTCTTGCTGATTTAGCTTCGTGGTGTTGTGTTACATGCTTCCTGCTCATCTACACAAAGTCTCCTTCTTTTGACTCTGAGGGACAAACATCTGCCTGAGTGTGTGTCACTGCATGCTTCTGGCTGTGTGTTGGATAATCCATGTGCGTGTAAGTGTGTATTAATAAATGAATAAATTTGAATTTACCGCGGTTACCTGGAGTTCCCGCGATTCTTCCTCTGCGGCGGAGGCGTGATACGACAAAACCTGGAACACACAAATGCAAAAATGATGATGCATGCGGACATATCGGGGAAAACACTCATACAGTTCAAATACAGCTGCTCTCTAACACGCGTCGCCGATTCTTTTGGTTTGTGATTGTGCTAAATTAAGTGACTGGCATCGGTTCAACCTGTGGGTCTAGTGTGGCTTAATGCCTGTTGAGAAACCTGTCAGGGGGTTTTGATGTGAGCAAGGCAGTCAAAATGTCATGCAAAGCTCAAGATGAATAGGCTTTTTGACAGACAAGATAAGAAAAAGTGGTGCGACTCATCAACCACACGTCTGTCAAATCTAAAATATAAAGAATCCATCATGATCTGGAGTAAACTGTCAATACGGAGAGAGCCTGGTGACTAAAAAAAGACAAGGCAGTGGCAGAAAAGAAAAGAAGTACAGATCACATCCATGATAATGCTGCTTCACTGAAAGCCTACTTGGCTCATTTTAATCCTGTTTTCCAAATTAGCACAAGAACGGTTATGCATAATAGTTTAATATGTAAAATTAATAAGCATCAGTGCTGTTATTTCTTTCTTTTTTTTAAAGATTCTTTATCAGTTTTAACAATTTTTAGTGATGGTAAAATTCACGTGAGCCAACATGTGCAAAATATTATTATTGTTCTTATTTCAAAAAACTATTTCCCATCAAAAAATATATATATTTAAAATAACATAATAAATATAAAAATACATAAACTAAACTAAACTAAACTAAAATAAAATAAAATAAAATAAAATAAATGATAACAAAAAAATAGACAAAAACACAAACATCTTTCAGAACATTAGGGGGTGACCATTACATTGTCTTTAAATTTTCAAACTCCAAATTAAATTGGGCTTTTTAACATTTACGTACGCAACCATTTGTCTGGTGTTTTTCCAAAAACATGAGGTAGCGTGTCAAGTTTTCAAATCCACTAACAGCTGTTGTGTTCTTTTTTTAACCTTTATGCACCACCATGACTGAATGACAACTTGAATTACTCTTTAAAAAGTTCTACACCATGATTGAGAACTTTCCTCCATTTTGCTGCCTCCTACCAGGAAATGCCACATAACACATGATTTCTTCCTGCCTGTTCTTCAGGCTTTCACAGACTTTCATAGCTGTCCCCATAAGTGTGCTGCATGATCAAAGCCTTCCTGCACTGGCAGTGATCCCTGTTTCTGAACTTTCCTCCAAAAAGCACATTTTGGCCCAGTTTCAGGACTACTTATTTTTGATGTGTGGTGACCGGTGACAGTGTAATTTGGACAAAAATGTAACTTCTAAGGCGAGTGTTCATTGATCACTTACCATCTTTGCTTTGGGAGAGTGATGGAAGTACATTAAAGGCAGTCTTTGAAGTACTGAAAAAAAAAAATGCTCAAACTGCTATTTAGAATGATGGAGGCAGCACTTCAGAAGTGATTAAATTGTCCGTTTCTTCATCACCACAGTTCTGTAGGCTACTGTAGCCACATTCAACTGAACTGCAGTCAGAATGAAATGAACTGTCCGGCAGTGTTCGTTCTGACACCTGATTTGGATTTGGGCAAAAATGTGTAGAACTTCTAGCCAAATTTCAGTCTTTTGAAAGACAAGTATCCTAAGCATTTCAAGGCCATCTGTGTGTGTGAGGTTAGTGGAAAAGACTCCCTGTGTCTGAATCACTACCTTGCTCATTCACTCATTACTCTGGATACAAAGCTCCAAGGTGTGATCGAAAAACCTGAACAAAACATTTTCATTAGTCACACGCTCGTGACATTTAGCAGGTCTGTTAGTGTCTCTGAATGACCGACTGAGGTAGCGCTCAGCTTCAATGCACACCTGCCCTGAGCTGGTTTGTTGCAGTAACTGAATGGGGACTAGAGGCTTCCCTGTGCACGGCTGCCTAGCTAACATCTACTGAAGCGTGTGAGGCCTTTGGGGAACATCTGTTAATTGTGGCATCGTTGATAGTTTGCATTTGAAGCATGTAGGGAACATCGGTAAACTGCAGTATCAGAAAGCAACCTGGTCGACTCTCCCCATGCATGAACCTCCATACCCAACCAACCACCACAAGTAAATTCTCAACCTGGAAAACATTGAGATATGATCCAACAGCCAACACTGAGGGACTTCCCATGATTCACCGAGAACCTGTCTCCCACTCGACTCTCTTTCTGTCACTATACATTCATATGCCACTAGTGTATGTCACTCACTTTGAGTCTTTTCTCATGTAGTCTGTATTTTTTGTCCCCTCTGCAGGTACCTCTGGCTGCAGAGCTTTTCAGATCCTCGTGTATATTGTTCTCTTATGTGTTGTTTTTGTGTTTTCTCTCTACTATCTGGTTCTTGCTCCCCTTTCCTTTTACCCCAGCTGGTTGAGGCAGATAGCTGCCTTCCCTGAGCCTGGCTCTGCTGGAGGGTTTCTGCCTGTTAAAGGGAATCATCTGGATTTGTTCGGTTTCTCTTTATAGTGAAATGTAGTAAGGTCTTCACTTTACTATGTGAAGCGAGCTAAGATGACTTCTGTTGTCAACTGATGCTATATGAATAAAACTCAACAACATGCAGGTATTGCACAGAATGGATGGGAACAAAGCTTTAGCTGTCAGGGCATCAATGTTCTGTATTGAAACATTTAAAAAAACAAAGACACTCGCTCTGTGCCTCTGTGCTGGGCACCGACAAACTGAAGCAGTGAGGAACCAGAATTTAATTTGGATTTCATTTATTTAATTTCACAGAAGAGCAACCTTTTACTAACTTTAAAAAACAAAACTTCAAATGCAGTATTCTGCAAAATGTGGCACATTGTATTTAGGGATTGTTAGCAGAAAATATGCTGGGACACTACTATTTAGGTTCCATTGTGTAATTTTTGGTTACACAATATATTATAGGATTTGGACACTCAAATAAATAGGTTTACTTGTTCACACACTGTCAGCAGCTGCCTCTTCCCTCCACTAAAATACTGTTCATGTTTGTCCAGACAGGAGAAGCTAAATTATTGAATAATATAAATACGGTAATATTTCTTTGAAGAATATCTACAGGAAGATTTAGGTGGACGGTGACACCTTTTGATTGAAACAGGAAAGGTGAAAGTGATGCTAATGTTTCATCCTCTGGTGGGTTTGCTTGTTTGCATGTTTCCCTGTTTTGTCTCCGCTCTTTTGTTGCTGCCTTTTATCTAATTCTCAGTAGCTTGTGCATGAATTTAGTCCGTCCATCTGTTTCTTCCGTGAACAATGGCACATGTAGGTTGTTGAACAAAACAGTAATTAGCACATTTGTCTTCCACTCTATCGTATAATACATGTCATCTTGCACCTATTACTTTTTTTGTGCCTAATTTTTGTTGACAACATCAACACAGTGGTCCAGAGCTGCAGCACTGGAGGAGGTGGGCGTCAGCTGCAGCCGAGAGGACACATCACCTCTGACACCCTGAAGCTGACAGCTCCATCACCGGAGTGAACGGTGTGTGTGTGTGTGTGTGTGTGTGTGTGTGTGTGTGCATGTGTGTGACCAAGGACTGAATGGAAAGTGTCACAGTGGATTGTGTGTGGGCTCAGTTATAATGAATTTGTGCTTTGCAGTCTGTCGCACGCAGAGGCTGAAGGAAAGTGTCAAGAAGCAAGAAAAATCTTCCTGCCGCGACTCATCACTGTCAATCACACACCCACAGATAACTCTATCAGTGGCGCTCACACACACGCAGAAACGCACACACACTGTATGTGTCTATACTTTTAACACCACCACAATGCAATCTCTTTCACTCAATCTTGACTGTCAACTCTTCACTGCCAGTCCCAACCTTTAACCTAACTGTAACCAAAACATGAATGCAATCTAATCTGAAAGTGAAGTGTTTGTAAGATGAAACGTCTTCTCTTTCTAAAAATCTTCTCACTGGTAAGGCGTCAAAGAAGCATAAAGAGTTAAAGCAGAGGTGTCAGGATATTTACTGATGGAATGAAAGGCAGGGAAGGGAAAAAGAAAAACTGAAAGACTACTACAAACACAACAGATAGTGGCAACCAAACTGAACCGTGTGAGCTTCAAAGACCACAGGTCTGTTGCAATAGACTGTATTAGATTAAACTGGTGTATCTAATGAATTGGTAACTCAATGAGGGATTGCAATTTCCTCGGGTAGCATGTTAGAAATTGCACAGTACAGTTTTTTTTTTTAAGACTTTTTCTTTGTTTTATCAGATGGTTTAAACACACAAAAATTGTTGTATGCAGGATGAGCAAAAAACAAATGTGGACATTGTGCTAATTAGTGTTTTATCTCATTCATTCAACCTATTTTCAACATACTGCTGCTTTCAATTATGTTCTGTGTTTCTAATTAAAGCCTTTCACTTCACTACTTTTGGCCGGACTAACATTTCTTAACAAAAAATGGATGGATTGTCTGGAAATGTTTTACAGACGTTCATCTTCCCCTCAGGATCTGAGGACATTTTCCATCAGGTTCTGACGCAATTTGCCTGTAATGCTGACGAGTAAATGCTAGCATGCTAACAACCAAACAATACCCCCTCGTACTAAACACAGAAAGCACATTTTTTTTCCTGTGGATGTTTCTGAGAGGCTGTGAATTTGCACTTTTTATAGCAGCTAGTGACAGATTGGACAGTACCACGTGTTAGTGATATTTCCTGAGGCGAACATAGCACAGGATTTCTGGAGAAATTTCTGCTGTGTTTAGGCTCCGTCGATGGAAAGCATGTACAAATCTACGCCCCTTTAAAGTCCGGCAGCGACTGCTTCAACTACATCTCTTTTAATGATAAATCATAGAAGTGTGGATGATGGAGACATTTGTTATAACTCACTCTCTAAAATCAACTCACTAAAAACTTGAAAAACTGTCTCTGTACTCTCGTTGTTAGAGGTTGACAGGGAGATGTCATGTTGAGCTTTCACCTGCCCTTGACTGTGCGTTATCTTTCTTAGATTAGAAACTTGAGCAGCATTTGCCTAAAATATGAGACACTGTACTTGTAAAACAGGGTCTCTAATAATGCATGATGCTTTATTCAGTTAAATTGAACTAAAAATAGGTTTTACAATGGTACCAAGCATTATTTGCAAATATACTGACCTGGGTTTGGTACCTAATATACATACAAGTACTGAAATTAACCACTATGGTGCATTCTTAGTCATATGTACAGTTTGTATGTATGTGTGTGGGTTAATAAGGCTGACCTCCAGAGTGACTTCCTGCTTGGCCATGGCTCTCTCCACTGTTTCGTACATCTGTGTGTTCTGGATACCGAGGCCGCAGAAGATGGCAAATGCCTCCAGGAACTGCTCATCGTTTCTGTTGAAGGCCTTCACGCTGCCGGATGCTTCGTCCATTTTGTTCACCAACTGACATACACCTACGAGCACACGCACAAATACACACTGTCACTCAAACACACAACTTGGTCCTCTTTATATATCACTTAAATGTAAAATTATTCAAAATTGCGTCACCTTACAATAATTACATCACTTCTAATTTGAACAATAGGGTGCTCATGTTTAGATTTACTGTATGAAAAATTGAGGACGCACAGTACGAAATGTATAAATGTCACCTGACCAACACCTTCTTAACTCATGCAGCTCCATATCATCACATTGCTACCTCCATGCTTCACTGTCAGCATTCACTGTGGCAGCCCTGGCGAGATTCAGGCCAAACCTGTTGGAGCCCATCTGAGCTGAACAAACTGATCTTGGTCTCATCTGACTAAATGTGGTCCCAATGTCAATCAGACTTCAATCCAAGCTATTTAGCAAAGTTTTATTTTGTACTAAATAGCATGCAAGGGTTTTTGATTGTTTAGTAAATACTCTACTTGTCAACTAAAAAATGCTTCTGGTGTTGTCGCTTCTGTTGTATTCTGTATTTACTGCATATCCCCGAATTATTTGCTGATTTGATACCACACAGCAAACCTGAGTCAGGCTAGTATTCTAGCTTCTGAATAACTGCAAAACTACACTTGAGAGATAAACCCATGCAGACAGTTTAATTACGTGACTCACTACATTATCATGAAATGGGGGGACGATTGTTAGTCTTTGTTTACATCCAGATGCAAATCTGTTCAATGTAAGAACATGGAGCAGAATATTACACTTCTAATGCTGATAATACATTCATGGAACAAAACATATATTGGTCTGAATTAATCCGTAAGAGGAGAAAGACGAAGGTCATTTCATAGTAACGAACTAAGCTTGAGCTTTTCATCTTGCTCATCAACAAAGCTCAAAGGTTGGAGAAGAGGCTCTGAGGACCTGTCTTGTTTGATCTTTCAGGGACACCACTGCCATTAGTCATCGTCATAGCCAACTAAAGGAGCTGCTATCAGCTAATTATGCTGATGACAATCAGTGTGATGGATGGAGTGGGAGGGCTATTCATGGATGGACAAAGTAAGTGGTAATGCTATGCTAGCTTAATGTGTTCTTTAGCCTACGATTTAAGACTATTAAAGCCTCTCGCCCCCAGCGTTAAGGTCCCATCACTGCATTGAAAAGTAAAAAGCCGCACAGGCAATTTAAATATTGAAGACATTCTGGGATCACAGTGTTTTCTTCTCAGTGTATACTTATGTTGGCTGATACTGCCTCCTTTTTTCAATAAAACCGGATTTTCTGTATTAGCGATACACTGCAAAGGCGAGACTTCACTGCTAATTACATTGACCTTGTTGTTGACTCACAGGTTAAATCTGATCCACTGTGAAAACCCATATTGGTTCAGGCTAATTTAATCCCAACAGAGATCTTCCTGCAGCTAAGATACTGTCATGAAAAGGTGGAAAAGAGGTAGTTTAAGCCCAATGCTCGAACTTCAAGGGCTGCTCTACCCACGAGAGAAAGAGAGATAGATCCTACCGATGACTTTATCCTTCTTGCCATTCCTGATGGGAGTGCAGAGCAAGCTCTTTATCTGGTTGCTGGTGTGATCTGGGTTTTCACTCTACCAGAGAACAAGAGGGATGATTACTCGCTTTGGAAAAGGAAAGTACATGAAAAAGAATGGAAACAAAAAAGTACCGACCGTCCAGGGGAAACGCTGGTCCTTGGTGACATCAGCGATGTTGAGAGGCTGCATGGTGTTTTTAACATACTGAGCGTACATGTAGTTAATCTGACTGACATCACAGTCCCTGTGAGGAAACACACAACAACAATAACAGAGAGATGTTCAGAAGTGACCATGGATCAGCCTTATGAATCTTGGAGGAAATGTTGGACAAGAAAAACAACTGCAGCTTAAAATGCTTAACATCATGTGATACACTAAAGGAAAAGAGGCCAGAAAACCTAAACAACAGCTGAAAAGTAAAACTATATTTCACGTTCATGTTGGCCCTCTGCACCATGTGACTGTCCCTGATTCTGCAGGGTTTGCTTTTGCCCACACTGCACTGCAGTGATTTCATTCACTCCCAGGTACATCTGGCTCAGTCCAAAAATGTCTGTCTAAAAGTATACCTACCGACATGTTCACTAATGTAGGTGGTTTGATCAGTGCACCAACAGAACAACAACTTGATGGCGTTACATAAATACAGTTGCAAGGCTTGCTATCACCCTGCTGGCAACATATTGATCTAGCATCCAGTTTTAATGCTAAGCTGGCTAACGTCAGCTCTGTACATAACCCCTCAAGCCCAAAGCAATTTTTAAAAAGTTTCATCTACAAAAAACACCCCAAATGTAGTATAATCATCATAATATCATCATGAATAATCTTGGCCTCTATGGATCAAAGACACTTGCTAGCATTGTGAAATACAACAAGCCTCTCTGTCGCCATCATCAGGACAGAGTGACATTTGAGAATCTTTTACTTCTGTCACCACGCAGCTTTAAATTAAAGATAAAACAACAGAAAATGAGTCTGTGACATTCGAGAAAGTCTTAGCAGCTTATTTTAGGAGAATTAAATCTCTATAATTATTTATGACATGCACTAAAAACAGGTAACTTTCTTGACTTATGACTGTAGGTTTTCAGACAAAAATCCAGTTTGCACCTGTTAGGCGCAATGCACAAAGCTGCAAACCTGAGCCTTTTTTTCCTTGTCTAAATGTTTATACATGCCCAAATTTCACCACTCAATAGATCATTTTTATTTTTTTTGCAGTAGGGGACATTCTGGTCTAATTGATTAATAGGCTCTATTCATTCAGCATGTACAAACTTCTATGAAAGAAAAGTTTATGTGCACAGTTTCGCAGCTAAAGAGACATATTCTTCTCAGGAGTTGGAGGAGACCAAAAATAGAGCTAAAAGAAGCATGAACTGAAATGTATCAGATTGCTAACGTTGCTTTGTGCTCTCAGACAGCTGTTACCTATCACATTTATTTGGAAAGTTAAAAAATTCTCTTCCTGAAGTTTGTGTTTTTGTAGGTGTTGGTATTTCCGCCACCTGATTAGCTGTGGTGACTAACACTGTTCATGCTTAATTCAACATTTAGTCATGTGGGCCAGGACAAAAATGGTTCTTCGAGGAAAAACCTTGCATACACTAGAAATCTGTCAGTGAAAAATGGAATCTGGAAATAATCTTTGCAACAGAGTGGGACAACTGTAATTTTAAAACGACTCTGTGATTTGTCACTTTGTTGCAGACACTAAGAAGATGCATTTTGAGTATTCCTTCACACAGATTCGCTCAGCTGCTCCTTGGATTCTTTCTTGAGACCTTAAATCTGCTTCCTGAAGCTCCAGGCTAACAGCGCTGAATAATAAAACATCTGCTGGTTAATGAGGGAACTGCACCTGAGTCCACTGTCTCAAGCCTGAGAGCTAAAGCCGTCAGTCACGTCTGTCAGCGCTTAATAAGCCTGTTTGTTATCTTTAGTCGCTCCAAGTCCAACCACAGAGTCAGCCATAATACTGCCTGATAAATGATGGAAAATGGATATGTAAACATAACATGGGGTTAAAGTAAAAGCCAGTGGATTTTGGCTGTAGAGTTGTGGTTGGATTGTATGTGTGTGTGTGAGAGAGGGAGGGAATATGAGAGTGTGTTAGTGGATGACAGAAAGGACGTCAAACAGAAAACATGTTTTGATGGTCATGTGTTTGAGAGAAGAACAAATGATGGTTAAATGTAACTAAGCAAATGTTCTCGAGTACAATTTTTTAGGTACTTTTACGTTTTACTTAGTATTTTTATTATATGCAACGGAGATGGCAGCTAGTTTCAAAGCAGGTATAGTTTTACATTTTTATGAGTACAGCTTTTCAACTTTTTGATCGAACGCTTCATCCCCACTGGAACCTCCTTCATGTTTTCTACCTTCTTTTGAAGCTTGACTAGTCCTCTTTCTATTGTGCCATGTCATTATGCAGCGGTTTAACGGCAGCTGAGTAGAGAACTACTGCGACGCCAGATGTTTATCTGAACAAAACCAGCGCCCAGTGTGAACATAATGGAAATAGGAAGGAAACAAATGAATTCACATTTTCTTTTTGCTGTTGTTTCTTTCCACAATGCGGTTAACTTTGCACTCTACATTTAGATGTTGAGTAATGTGAGTAATTATTAACACACATAAAAACAATACTGTAAAATGAATACTTCACTACATCAAGATAGCAGATATTACCCTTGTAGTTCAACTTCAGCAAGGTTTTGAAGACAGCACAATGGAGCATTATAGACTTTGATGTTCCTATTTGTAACTAAGTGAGCGATCTGCATATTTCTACCAGTGCTGGTGTGTGTGTGTGTGTGTGTGTGTGTGTGTGTTTTGCTATGGTTTCCAACATCCAGTCCATGCCAGGAGTTTCATTTTGGATAACTTAAAGGATTCAGACTAATTATAACAATGTGCTGGCCTCGGTGCACAAACACACACTTCAGATGGACATGCTGCACAGTGCTTGCGTTTGTGCTTGAGTTTAAACACACTAAAAGCCACATTTCCTCTCCCTTGCTCTGTGATTGACTGAAACGAGGCCATAGAATAGCTACCGGCATCACTACGAACTCTGACAGCACAACTCTGGCTTTTCAGTTCACGATCACAATCAAACTCCACATCCTGAAAAAGTTAATTGCCCCACTTTGTCTACTTGAAATACCCCTGCCTGCTGCTCCTTGCGAGCTGGATCAACATCGGTTCAGCTCGACTGAACTTCCTACTTTTGGCGAAACAGACGCTGTGTCGTTACGAAGCCGAGGCCCACGGTTAATGTCACTATAAAAAGCCTCCTGCGGTTCCAGCTGGTTAAAGCTAACATCCTGCAGGGCCCCTCCCCTCCCTCGTTGGCCCAGTTGGAGATGCCCGGTTTTGCCCTATTGCAGCTGTCCTAGAGGCAATACAGCACAGTCGCACAGCAGCATTTACCAAGAGTTATTAGATTAGGAGAAACTGCATTGAGAAAAACAAACAAACAAAAAAAACCCCACAAGACTCTATGAAGGACGGGACAAGATAAAACATTCGACTTGTAGCTGGTCCATCATCATTGTGTTGGGTCTTCATATTTCCCTGTTTTTTGCCTGTCGAATTACATAATGAGCTGTTTACACAGTAAGAAATAACAGCTTCAAAGTGGAGATTATCAACTCACTGGTTAAATCTCCTTTTTAAAAAGTCACTGGTTTTGACAGGTCAATTCGTTTCACCAATCAAAAGAAGGTCACCAACCACGCTTTCTATCAGGTTTTATTATCTGTCTGCCTCTTAGCTATATCTCTTCCAGGTGCAGATATTAGTGTGAAAAAACAGTCAATATAGCCTGACAGAAAGTATGGCTTGTGACTCTTTCCTTAGTATAACCTATACCAGAGAGATACATCAGGCCTAGCCATGAGCTTTCTGTTTTAAAAGAAAGGAGAGGTTTTTTTTGGCTTTGAATACCTAAAAGTCTGGATTTTCAACTGGTGTTTAAAAGACAAGGACTGCATTGTTATGGTCAAAAAATCCCATGAAAATCCATCAGTGTGCATTCAATACTTTTTGACTTCTCTGTCCTGCTGTGGATCTTAGGACTTTAGCTCTTACTGAAAGGGTTAATGTAATAAGACAATATGAGTTTCATTTATTTAAAAAAAGAAAACAAAATTTGCGATAACGATGTAACTGGTGATATAATTGACGCGAGACAAAATACAAACTGCACAACTTTATTGGTGCAAATTAAAAAAAGGGACAAATCCTTTTCCATTTAGCAAGCAGCTGTTTTTGATGCACATTAAAGCTATATTGTACCAAAATCAATAGCGCATAAGTTGTAAACTGCTTGCTGACAGTTTGTTTAATCGAAAGGCATTTCAAATGGAAATGGGCAACCAAATCCTGAGCATAACAATGCATAGTATCCACAAAAGTAAAGTAGAGTTGCTTTGCAACATAAAACTTTGCAGCCAGCTTCTTTGGTCTCACCACCACGTCAGTTGGGGGTAGAGGGGTGTATAGCGATGGGTGAATATTCGGACCGATGGGGTGGAAGTGGGCGGGACGCACAGGCAGTACTTGGCTGCTAATGTCAGTTTAGGATAGTGGTCACAGTTCTGTTTCCACAATCGGGTGGCAGTGGTGGTGGCGGCAGCTGGGAGGGGCTAGCGGTGGGTGGTGGGTGAATGTTCGGATCTCAAAATTGCTATGCGTACACCACCACAACAACCGAATATTACGATATTCAGGTCCAGCCCTACTGTGGTCGATGCACTGCTTATTGCTCCATGTGCACTAGACCAGATGAAAACAACGGCACTGTGCATGCACGTTACACTCAAATTTTATAGCGATATTTCAATTTCATATCATCCACTAATGTTACACCGGTATTGCTGTGCACGGTATGATATGGCCCAGCCCTACTCTATACTATAGCTAAAATATCATCCTTAAAAATAAGGGGAAATTGTGCATTTATCTGGGACTACTTTACCCATTGAATGATATAAATATATATAAAAGATGCGATTACACCCCTGTGCACTTCCGCTTAAACATCAAATGAGTCAAAATTGTGTCACCTCAGTAGCTGCATTACTTTTAAGCTGAACAGTGGGTCATTTGCTCTTATCTGAAATTAAAAACTAACAGCTAGATTTACAATTTCAGGCCCCACAGTAGGACCCCAGTGGAACAAAATCAAGTACATCTTTTATTACTGGAATTCAAATCCTTTTTTACTTT